TAATAATATACCTTATGTGTAATATTAATAATAAAAATAAAATAATTTGTTATACAATTTTAACGCTATCCTTAAACATTTAACTATGTATAATTATTAAAGCCTGCTCGGCCTGCCAAACGCTCGACTTTGTTAGGCTTTCCTATATATGCTTTGGCAGGTGGTATAATTGCAATTGTATATGTTGCATACATCATATATCATATATCATATATCATATGACTGTTATTTTGTTGTCTATACATAACCTGGTAATGTGCATGATGCATATATTCATGAAATGTTGAATGTTGCCGTCCTCAGCCCGGTTCCTTTTAACAATTCATAAGCGGGCTCGCACACCCCAGCAGGAAGAGCTGTGCATGTGTGTGGACTCTGTATATTATAAGCATATGCAAAAAAAAAAAATAAAACAAGCAAGCAGCTATTGACCCAGATTTTTTAACGTAGCACCGCGACCAACTGCATTTCCCTCTAGCCCATTTTGTATATAAATATTACGCATACGCCTCGCATGTTTGTTATGATTGTTTGCTTTCATTTGCGTTTGCCACACATTATAATAATTACATTATATTATTGTTGTTGTTGTTGCTGTAATTTGCCACTGATGCTGTTATCCCTTGGCGCTAATGGCTTCCCATTTCGATTAAGCTATGAACCCCAAGTTAATAAAAATCTAATGGGATTTTGATTTTACACAAGGCCATCGACGCGACAGCTGCGGCCTTGCGACAGTCGCCGTGTTTGCTCGCAAGGCTATTTTGCAGTAGATTAAACTTTGCTTATTGCAGACATCCTTGAGCAGCATAATTAGGGTAGACGCTGCCACCAGCAGGAGTTGTGGTCGACGAGAATATGGCTATAATGAGCAGATTTAATCGGGCGAAATCCTTAATGCCGGCAACTTTTCTTGTTGACATCGATGAGTTCATAGAGATGCCCCTAAGACAGACAAACGCATAGACAGATGAAAATGACTAGTTTAGATCAATAATCACATTTTATTCGTTAGTCTTACAATTAATTCTTTTCTCCCTTACAGACGAAGGAAAAAAATTGCACTTCATAAGTCCGGCACGCCGGAAATCTGTCCTAGCTCCAATTCTGAGTAAGATTAAGAATGGTGTGGATGGCTCGGATGCTGGAGATAAGAGGTCGGCAGGCAGCGAGGGCAGCGGCAGCAGTCACATAGCCGTCCAAATTGAGCCAGCCAGGCGTGTGAAGGTAACTGAGCTGAGCTGCTCGACTAAGAGTCCTTAACAGGCATCAAATCCCATTGCAGCGCCATAGCATACACGGCATGATGGAGGAGGAGAACACCATACGGCCGCATCAGGAGATACGCCAGCTAACGCTGGAGGAGAAGAAGTTCCTCTTGGCGGTGGAGCGGGGCGACATGGCGGGCACTCGACGCATGCTGCAGAAGGCACAGGACACCGATTACATCAATGTCAACTGTGTCGATCCCTTGGGTCGCACCGCCTTGCTGATGGCCATTGATAATGAGAATCTGGAGATGGTTGAGCTGCTCATTAACTACAATGTGGACACGAAGGATGCGCTCTTGCACTCCATTTCCGAGGAGTTTGTGGAGGCCGTGGAGGTGTTGCTGGACCACGAGAATGTTACCTTCCAGAATGAGGGCAATCATGTGTGTAGTAGCTCCATTCTCTCTCTCTCTCTCTCTCTCTCTCATAACTACATTCTCTGTAATTTCATCATAGAGCTGGGAGTCTACTTCGGAGGAGACTTCAACGTTTACGCCAGACATAACACCTTTGATATTGGCCGCCCATCGGGACAACTACGAAATCATCAAAATTCTGCTCGATCGTGGCGCCGTTCTGCCCATGCCACACGATGTGCGTTGCGGCTGTGACGAGTGCGTCCTGTCCCGGCAGGAGGACTCGCTCAGGCACTCGCGCTCTCGAATCAACGCCTATCGTGCGCTGGCCAGTCCCAGTCTTATAGCACTGTCCTCCAAGGATCCTATACTCACGGCCTTCGAGCTCTCCTGGGAGCTGCGACGTCTCAGCTTTCTGGAACACGAATTTAAGGTAAGCTAGATATGCCAAATGCAATGTGGTGTATAGCTATGGGACTATCTTTCAGAACGAATATCAGGAGCTGCGAAAGCAGTGCCAGGATTTTGCTACCGCCTTGCTAGATCATACGCGCACCTCGCACGAGCTGGAGATCCTGCTAAATCACGATCCCACTGGGCCGGTGTTCGAGCATGGCGAACGCATGCACCTGAATCGCCTGAAGCTGGCTATCAAACTGCGGCAGAAGAAGGTAGCTTAATATGAGAATATATAAATATCTCTCTCTATCTATCTATCTATCTCGTTCTCTTATGCGCAGTTTGTGGCGCATTCGAATGTGCAACAGCTGCTGGCCAGCATTTGGTATGAGGGCCTACCTGGCTTTAGACGCAAAAACATGGCTCTTCAGACACTGGACATCATTCGCATTGGCATCCTGTTTCCCATTTTCTCGCTGGCCTACATTCTGGCGCCGTACTCCAGCATCGGCCAGACCATGCGGAAGCCCTTCATTAAATTCATTTGCCACAGCGCCTCGTACTTTACGTTCTTGTTCCTGCTAATGCTCGCCTCGCAGCGCATTGAGACCTTCATTGGCAGCTGGTTCTGGTCGGACGCGACGACGATGCTGAACCAGACGGAGGAGCTGCAGCTGCCCACCAAGCGCGGAGCCAAGCCCACCTTCATCGAGTGGCTGATTCTGGCCTGGGTGAGCGGGCTCATCTGGAGCGAGGTGAAGCAGCTGTGGGACGTGGGGCTGCAGGAGTACCTCAATGATATGTGGAACGTCATTGACTTTGTGACCAACTCGCTCTACGTGGCCACAGTGGCACTGCGCGTCGTCTCGTTCTTTCAGGTAATCATCACAGACTCAGTCTCTTCTGCTTCAGTCCCTTAACACATGGCTCGTGCAGGTGCAAAAGGAGATGAAGGTCAATTCGCAGGCCACGGACTTGCCGCGCGAGCGCTGGGACACCTGGGACCCCATGCTCATATCGGAGGGCCTGTTCAGTGCAGCGAACATTTTCAGTAGCCTCAAGCTGGTGTACATCTTCTCGGTGAACCCACACTTGGGGCCACTGCAGGTCTCGCTGTCGCGCATGGTCATGGACATCATGAAGTTCTTCTTCCTCTACGTCCTGGTGCTCTTCGCCTTTGGCAGCGGCCTCAACCAGCTGCTCTGGTCGGTATTGCCACTGCCTAACAATCATTTGCTTTAAATAATATTTATATGTTTAACCTCATTTTTCATGGACTCATGGACTCAGGTACTATGCTGATCTGGAGAAGAAGCGCTGTCCCGAGGTCTCACCCAGCCTCCTGCTCAACTTGAATGGCACCAATGATCCGAATGCCTGCATCGTCTGGCGACGTTTCTCCAAGTAAGTTCCTTCAGCCTTAAGGTGGTTATTAGGAGGAGTAATTTCCATTAACTAGATATTGTGTAATTTATTATTATTATCGCCATAGCCCTAATACTAAGCTAGCCTTTAATTATACTCATTCACGAAAGTGAATCAGTATATTGGTTTTGTGCAATGTCCGTCTTGCTGTCCGTCCGTCTGTCCGTCTGTCCGTCTGTCCGTCCGTCCGTCTGTCCGTCTGTCCGTCTGTCCGTATGAACGCAATCTATTTCGGCGCTATTGAAGCTAGAGACTTGAAATTTGGAACACATACTCGTGTATATCTCCGATTTATAAAGTGTTAAAATTTTCCCGATCCGCCCACTAGGGGCGTGGCAAATCGGAAAATGCATTTTCCGATATACCAGAAATCATGTTTGTTGAAGAGCTAGAAAGCTGAAANTAAAATTATTTTTAATTTAACTATGCATGAATATATCAAATTAAAAATGTTTCCTTTACATAATCAATTATATCATATATTATAATATTGATTTCTTCCCTAGTCTTTTTGAGACCACTCAAACCCTATTTTGGGCTGTCTTTGGGCTGATTGATCTGGACAGCTTCGAGCTGGATGGCATCAAGATCTTTACACGTTTCTGGGGCATGCTCATGTTTGGCACCTATTCGGTTATCAACATCGTAGTGCTGCTCAATCTCTTGATAGCCATGATGAACCACTCGTATCAGCTAATATCGGTAGAGTCACTAAACCAAATAGTAGATATATTATCAAATATAACACCTGTTATCTCCAGGAACGCGCTGATGTGGAGTGGAAGTTTGCACGCTCCAAATTATGGATCAGTTACTTCGAGGAGGGCGGCACTTGCCCGCCTCCGTTCAATATAATTCCCACGCCCAAGTCCATATGGTACGCCAGCAAATGGATGCGTCAGGTGTTCTGCAGCGGCTCCTCGGCCGCTCGACGCGAGCACCTGAAGACAATACGTGTAAGTACAGGGACTAAATTAGTGAATAATTATATCTTACACTAACTAACTAAAACCTTATGCTAGCGCAAAGCACAGCAGGCCAGCGACAGGGACTTCAAGTATCAGCAGATAATGCGTAATCTGGTGCGTCGCTATGTCACCGTGGAGCAGCGCAAGGCGGAGTCACAGGGTGTCACGGAGGACGATGTCAACGAGATTAAGCAGGACATCTCTGCTTTCCGCTGCGAGCTGGTGGAGATACTGAAGAACAGCGGCATGGATACGAACGTGACTGCAGGACAAGGTGGCGGTAAGCTGCGCTTGGATACACTCGACTCACACTCTAATCTCAATCTCAATCTCTTACTTCACACTCAGGCGGCGGTGGCAAGAAGAATCGCCAGAAGGAGCGTCGGCTCATGAAAGGCTTTAATATTGCGCCGCCTGGCTCGACGAGCTCCTTGGCCCCGGTGGCCGAGTTCTCCACATCGCTGGACAATTATGATAATCAGCATGAGATACTTAGCTCCACGCTCTCCACACTCTTCACGCCCAACTTCATACACAGACGCCAGAACACCACTGGCGGCATGGGTGGCTCTGAGTCACCCACCACGCCCACTCAGAGCCCGGCACCAGCAACGCCCGCCACGGCTGCCACAAAGTACAATAAGACCACGTTGAAGTACAACAAACGCATTGCAGGCCATAAGAAACGCTGGGGTAAGCTAAGGACAATTTTAACTATATATCCAATCTCTCATTATACGCATCTTGCATATTTATAGGTACACTGATTGAAGCCGCCAAGGTGGGCAACATGAGCAAAATGCTGGGACGCTCCAAGTCGGAGGATTCCGTCTGCAATTCCTCACACGACACCACACCTGTGCACGACCAGGTGCGTGTGAGCTATGCCCAGGGCTCGGCCCAGTGCACAGTTAACTACAGGCAGAACGGCGGAGATGGCCCAACGCTGGGGTCAACGCTGCCACCGCCCCCAGCAGCCTCCTCAGCACACCCACATGGGGGCGTGGGCGCGCACTTCTTTCACACAACGACAGGTGCATACAATTGAGTCTTAAACATCATTTAAGTAGCAAGGTAAACAATGTCTATATCCATTCCAGGTCTAACTGCCATTGCTGCTCTGAAACGCAAACGCAAAAAATTCTCATCAAGCAAAAACATTTGCCCCGTGACCGAATCAATTGCAGCTGCCAATGCCGCAGAATTATTGAATGATAAGGTAAGCTCCTGAATATTAACAATTCGCAATTATTACTTTCATATTTGTTTGTTAATTCGTTCAGACGCTTAAACGAGTGTCCAGCTATCCAGCAGCCACTGCTCAGGTAAGCGGCCCACACAAGGATCCCGCTCAGGTAGTGAAGCCGCGACGGCATGAGCAAACGCAAAGTCAACATGATTCGGTTGAGGCCTCCACGGAGTTCACACTATCCATTGATCCATCCAATACGTCTGTCAATTCGCGCGAACCGTTGATTAGCAGCAGCTGTGTCTCTACCATGGGCACCATTGGCTGAATATCACTAAATGAATTCACATTACACAAAAATAACAACTAAATGAAATAGATTAACAAAAACTTAAGTAAAAGGGCAAAAGTTTTTTGCTAATTTGTCTGCTCAATTCAAATTCATTCATTCACTCACACAAAATTGCATTTGAGCCATATATATA